AACACCACACTTGGGTTCCAATATGGCTCGTTGCTAAGATGGTTATGCCCCAACAATGTACTTCTGGGTTTCATCTCCGTAAGGGTGGTTGAGTTTTGACATTGGTTTGATCATGACCCTCCTTTACCTGGGCTTCGGACCGGCTATGATGCAATGACCCGTTCCTTGCTCACTTATCATCGTATAATTAGCAGGCTTTATTATGGTCTGCCATCGAGTCATTGACACATCACGGGAAGTTGGAGAACCAATCCAATGGGCAGAAAGTAGAAACAGTGTATGGTTGTAGTGGGTCTTCTCATACCAAAAAGCTATCTTGAGAGTTTAAGGACCCTCGACCAGTGTGAGACTTTTACCACAATCTCCCACTTCAAAAGATTAGTGTTATTAAATTGATCTTTGTACTTTCTCAATCATGGGTAGTTAGTTATCAGATGTGTTACATATTCATGGATGGCAATTGTAACTATATATGCCATAGTCAATATGATTATTAATATGGCGATTTCAATTAGCTAATGCATTGTTTTTCTTTCAATCTGCCAGAAATTCATTATTTTTATTTTACTTTAAGTACTCACTCATACCTTGCATTCAGTTGGTCTTTCTAGTACGATAACAAGTTGATCTTTTAAAAAATGATGTTTCAAACAAATACAATATAAAAATATATTTTATATTTTATGACAAATCTAGCAATATCAATTTGATATTGTCCATCTTGGTATTTCGGTAGTTCTTTCTGCAATGATGTCTGACTGGATAAAATTCTAAGACTGCTTAGATTTTAAATGGCCAGGTTCTTCTAGATTCTTAATTTCTTTGATGTTCACTGTTATCCCAGTGCTTTTGTCATCTTACACATGGCACTGCTCTTCTCAGTCATAAACTAGGTTCTTACGAATTCAAGCTATTTCCAAACAATATTGTTGTCTGAATAGCTGTAGCTGTACCACCAAGTAAATTGAATGTATGTTTTCTTCCATGCATGTATATGTACCTAACCAGATAATTCTACAGAGAAATGAACTTATCGAGAGGAGCATAATTAAGAGATTGGGTAGCGTGGAAGACATGGCTTCAGCCGCCGCTTTCCTGGCATCCGACGATGCATCCTTCATTACAGCTGAAACAATTGTTGTTGCTGGAGGAACACAATCAAGACTATAGAGAAGTTTTGAGGGTCAATCAGCCACAGTGTCCTGATCAATAAATATAGTGATACTAGTAGGTCTAGTATACAACATTTCAAGTGCGCTTAGATATAAACAAGATGCAGTGTAATAAATTTGATGTTGGGGTGCCATACAATCTTGCAAGGACGAATGATAGTCTATCGGCATTGTGGTCCGAACATGTATTGTTGTATAACCTGTGTTCATGTATAGGAATTGCGATGAAGTGACAGAGTATGCCGCAGCATTTTATTTGGGGTTTCAGTTTTTCAGCGGTTTAGTGATTATTTGAGCCAATGAAACATTGCAGGTTGAATTGATGTACTTAGTCTCCCTGCCTCATTCATACTTGCACCCTTCCAGATTTCGAATGAGTCTTCAGTATGCTATTGTCTTTCTACTTTTGTTTTTCTTGCTTCGGCCTATTAGTCATACTCGGAATATTTGGCCTTCATTATTAATTTTTTTGTCATTGTTAAGTTATTATTGCTGCATTGTTTGAGTCTAGGCGCATTGTAGGGGTGGGTTGAGTTTTGGACTTGCACAGTTCGTTACAACGGGCAACGTATTCCATTTGGTGTTTTTTTTTTCTCGTAAACCTATATTTTTCTTGATTCAACCTGCAAAACAGCAGAACATATTTGCAAAATAAATCAAGGTGGTAGCTATTAGTTTATGAAATACATAATTTATAAGAGAGATATCACTGAACAACAATTTGAACATATTAGGCCTTGTACAATGAGAGATGCTTAGGAGGGTGCTTAAAAAATAAACCGAGTTTTTTTTAAGCACCTGTGCCTATTTCTACAGAAGAGACGCTTAGTTAAGCGTCTATTCTGTACAAATAAGCACCGGTGCTTCGAGATGCTTAGGAAGGTGCTTAGAAAAATAAACCGAGTTTTTTTGAAGTACCTGTGCCTATTTCTACAGAAGAGACGCTTAGTTAAGCGTCTATCCTGTACAAATAAGCACCGGTGCTTAAAAAAAACCTGGTTTATTTCTCTAAGCACCTCCCTTAAACACCTTGCATTGTACAAGGCCTTAGTGAGCGATGGTGGGCGAAGGTGCAAGGGTGGTGTGAAAATTGATGTCATTATGTGCAGCTAAAGTTCTCAAGTCTGTGGTCCAAACGTTCAAGCACTTCTGTCCTATTCTATTCTATGAGTTGTTTCAAACTCACAAAAGATTTGTGTAAGAAAATTACAACGACCAAATCATAGTACTGGTGGGTTGAGTCATTGTACAAGAGAGGAATGCATTGGCAAAATTGGGAGAAAATGGCTATCTCTAAGTCAAAAGGAGGGTCAGTCTTCAGGGACATGCAAATCTTTAATAACGCCATGCCTGCCAAGCAAGATTCGAGATTACACGAGAATCCTCATACACTATGTGTTAGGGTTTTTAAAGAAAGATACTATCTTGACGGAGATTTCCTTATGCCGGGGTGCCCAACTGAAGCCTTGCCTACGTGGTGGGGCTATGGGTTTAATTAGACGCGTCGGAAATGGGAGGACGATACAAATGTGGCACGAAAACTGGAGGGGGGAGGGGGGCAAAGACTATGTGACCTCTCGAGAGGTTGATAGACTCCAATTCAGTTGGTGTGACCTGATTGATCAAGCATCGGGTGCATGGGATAGTCAGCTCGTTCAACAATTTTTTTTACCCACCCGACGCAAATGCTATATTGGCTATGCCACACCCAAGATTGACTGGGAAGGATGTTGGGCTTGTTAGAATAAATCCGAGGCCACCGTTGATCATCCGAGGATCAAGCAATCACATGAGCACGATACCGAGATTTGTTAACGAGGTTCACCGATATGGCTACATCCCCGGGGCCTGACTATGGACGCTCCTCCCCATGACACCGTCACAATACCGCACCCGGTCGCCCTGGATACAGGCACATGCCGCCGGCTTCCCCTGCGTTCCGGTGCTATTATGTTGGCATAGGTTACATCGTGTGTCTACCCCGCTATATATGAGAGGCCTAGGATACAAGTGTCCTACTAGGACACGACTTCATATCCTATGTAAACACAATACAACTCAGAGTCCAACTGTAACCTACCTTGTACACTATATTCGACACAACTCTAACAAACTCCACCTTGGCGAATATTCTCCACCACCTTGAGTTCGTTCATGCGTCAAACTTTCATGTACATTGGACTTGAGCTTATCCCATGAGCACCGCTGCTACTCCAAAAACTCCATGTGACTCCACCTGCAACTTGTAGTCCCTTCTTTTCTTGACCACGGTCAACACTCGAGCAAAATTAAGTTCCTTATTACTCTAGTTTGTGCTCCCAACTTCTAGAGTATCAGTCCAACGCCATCACAGACCGATCACTGACCTGCGTGAAAGTGAACAACTCACATACTGGTTGTCACATATAAGAGTTACCTGAACTCAACATCACCGCTCCTTTCTTGACCGCCTGTCTGAAACTTGAAGGAATTTCACCATTGCTTGTAGTCACCTCGAGTCAAATTCACAGCTGTCTCACCATATGTATGACCACCAGAGCCCTGGCCCGTCTCCATGTCCCGTGCATACTGCACGCCTCGGCGCTATTACCGCGTCGAGCCTCCGCTGTCCCGGTCGAGTCTCAAGGGTCGCGAACCCACATCACTCAACCCCCACTGCAGAGTACCACCGATCATCACCGACCGATGACAAGTTTCACGCTTTCATCAGACCATTGGGCTCCAGTCCAAATTACGTGTCCCTTGCTTTTCCCGCTGAATAGGCTTTGATTCTCTGGATCCTTACACCGTAGCCCCTCAATCCAGCTCCACCTTCAACATGACTCCATGGTAGATGATCAGTCCACCCTTGCGCCCCGTCGACTCCAAACTCTCATGTGCACCATCTTGAATCAACCCCGCGCCATAGTCTTGTCGAAGCCACACAAGCCTCGGGCCTGCGCCACGTGTTTCCACGCCCAGAAGTTGGTCACCATCAGCATCACACTCCTATGTCATCGTCGCCGATCCAACACCTTCTTCTGTGACAACTAACTTGCGTCGATCCGTCAAACCGATAAGTCTGACCAAGCCGAACATATCTGACTGCAACCATGCTCCACCCTGCACCATGACCACTTGCACATATGTGCATGTCTTGACGCCCTGTGTATGCATGATCCTGCCACGCCGCACTTCAAGCTCCTCCAAGCCTTATGCGCGTGTTGCCGTCCTTAACGTACACGCACCAAGCACTCTTAGCAAACATGACCCACAAGAGAAATTTTCATGCAAAACCAGACCGAGTGATCCCTCCACACAATTCCCTTCTCTTGTCTTGGTCCACTAATAGCTCCTCCATGCACGCACAAAAAACTGCACCTTTTTTTTCCACAAACAAATCTCGCGGTATCCTTGGATTTGCACAAGTTAGTACCATCACACGAGCAGCTTCAGGCCATCTGCCTTACTACGTGAGGCCTCCTTGTACACCATGCATGCAGCAGCCCTGTCCGTCTTTACGTCAAGCTGCTCCTCGGCGGCATGTGTCGGTGTCGTGCTCGTGTGGTTGCTTGGTCCTTGGATAATCGACGGTATGGCTCAGATTTATTCTAACAGGGCATGGGCATGGGAGAGCTCAGGGATTTTTGTGGTGAAATCGGCCTACCGATAAATCATTGACAAGAGATGTAGCAAGAGTGTTGCTACTGATAGTTCTCGAGGGAAAAAGCATACGTGGAAGGCTTTAGGTGCTTCCCAAAATCTAGGTGTGTTTGGTGGCCTCTGGTGAACAATACACTACTAGAAAAAGAGCTATAAATGGGATTGGCACTAATGGCGCACCAGACAAGTGGTGCGCCATTAGTATATACTAATGGCGCACCACCTTCTGATGCGCCATTAGTGTTGAAACTACTAATGGCGCACCTGGCCCATGGTGCGTCATTAGTATCAATTTTTTTTTGAACTAGTGCGCCTGTCCAAACATACTAATGGCGCATCCATAGAAAGTGCGCTACTAATGTTGTTTTTTTATTCCTTAGAACAAAAATGCCGGGTCACGCTCGTGGAGCGGGCGTGCACTTGTTAGAAAAAAAAACGGATTCTTAAGTACGAACCCATCCCCTCCTCCTCCTCCTCCGCCGCCGCCCTTCAATCGTCCTGCCCCTGACTGACTCGACTCCCCTGGCCTCCGCGCGCAGTTCACCGTCCCGGATCTCCGCCCCGGCACGCTCGACTCCCTGCTCGCCCTCAGCGACGACCTCGTCAAGGTACCTGCTTTCCATCCCGATCTTGCCCCCACCCCTCTTCTTGGCCCCGGCCTGATCCGGCCTCTGGCTGCAGTCCAACATCTTCATCGAGGGCGTCTCCCACAAGATCCGCCGGCAGATCGAGGACCTGGAGCGCGCCGGAGGGGTCGAGCCCGGCACCCTCACCGTCGACGGCGTCCCCGTCGACAGCTACCTCACCAGGTCCGTCTCGGCCTGTGCCCAGTGCTGCTGCTTACATTCCTCATCTGCCTACCACCGCTTGCTTACGCTGTAGAGGATGGATGGATGCAGGTTCGTGTGGGACGAGGGCAAGTACCCCGTCAATGCCCCGCTCAAGGAGACCGTCGCCAGCATCCAGTCCCAGGTCGCCAAGATCGAGGACGACATGAAGGTAACTAACTCTGCTTCTCTCTCTCTCTCTTCTTTGGTCCAGTTCCTTTCCACACTGACCAAATTACGCATGGATGACAGTAAGATTTTGGAACATTGGCAGCAACTTAACACTGCATTAGCTACGCTAGCTGGGTACTGTATTTTGGACAGTGTTGCTTAACAGTTACATTCCGTCCTCAGCGCTAAATTGGTAGATTTGGATGTAGCTCACTTCCTATTTTGTCTTGGGTCTGTTTGGTTCCGGCTAGCTACCTATTTGTGCAGCTAGTTACATCAGTATTTATTTAGTCTTATGTCCCTTTTTCTGGCACTGAATTGCCACATAATGTTCATGATGCAAAAAACTAGGGAACTGGTGCCACATTTTGTCAGGAAAAGGAATTAATTGTTGTAATTATAACTGAAATACCATGTTGATCTTGCCTGCCAAGTGCAGTCTTGGTTTTATGCATACCTTCATTTCATTTTGTGCTCATAGATGCAAATAAGTGTTTTGGTTGGATGTTACATTTACAGAAGGACTGAATATGCCCTTTTCCAGGTTAGAGTTGCTGAATACGGTAATGTTAAGAGCCAGCTTGGCGCAATCAACAGGAAGCAAACTGGGAGGTAAATCGTCTCACCATACTTCCTGACTAGCTCTATAGGGAGGGACATGCTTGGTACTAGTATTATGCTACGTTGTTGCTCGCCTTGAGTCCTACTCTGATTGATTTGTTCTTCTTGTATGGCAGTTTAGCAGTTCGTGACCTTTCCAACCTCATAAAGCCAGAGGATATGGTCACTTCGGAACATCTAGTGACACTCCTTTCTATTGTGCCAAAGTATTCCCAAAAAGATTGGTTATCAAGCTACGAGTCACTTGATACGTTTGTGGTAAGTTCAGAATCCTTTGTATAGTGATAATGTCTCTCATAAACCATCGTTTAAACTATTTTCATGCCGTGCTTCATTTCAGCAAATGTCTATTTTATTTGTGGTTAGTCAATTAAAACCAAGAGTGTTTATTTGGTTCACCATTTCTGGTGTTAATGCTATCATGATAACTTGCAATCACAGAAATCTTTCAGACTCCAGATATATGACTTGGAACTCGTTAACCCGGGTGCTATTTACTTTGCCCTTATGAGGACTTTCAAGCTGTCCTAATTTGTGATTATATCCAGTTGATTTTTTTCTTTGAGCTAATTATTGTTTATATAGGTTCCGAGATCATCAAAAAAGCTTTACGAGGACAATGAGTATGCTCTCTACACTGTAACATTATTTGCCAAGGTTGTTGACAACTTTAAGGTCCATGCTCGTGAGAAAGGTTTCCAGGTAACTTTGTTGCCCTGATCCTTTCTTTTAAACCATTGCTTGCATTTAACCTTAATTTGACACGGTGGCAGTACTCCATGTAGCCTTTGGTATAGCTCCTAATAGCTAGGCAAAAATTTATCTTGTCAGTTGGTACCTACCATTCTAGTAACTATTTTGTCATCCACTAACATCTATTTCGCACTTGATTTCAGATCCATGACTTTGAGTATAGTCCTGAAGCATAGGAGAGTCGGAAGCAAGAGCTAGAAAAACTGCTGCAAGACCAGGAAGTTATGAGGACCTCTCTATTGCAATGGTGCTATGCAAGCTACAGTGAGGTACATGTCTTCTGCAGTGTATTATGTCCTAATATCGTCTATGAACCGTATGGTGAACAAACCACATGCCCTTAGTTCCTGTACATTTCCAAAGGTACTGTAGAAATAAGTCGGTCAAATATTTCATTTGATTGCACAGATGTTCTTCATCAAAACTCATCCATTATGAACTACTCTCCAGCTTGTGGTTGGTTTCTACAGTAGTTTCCTCATCCATTTACTATGTTAGCCTACACAAACTTTTGATTTTTCTTTCTAGTTCAATCGCAAGCCTGAACATGAAGGTTGTGAATTTGTTCATTGTTTAATTGGTTATTTGATCTTCTTCAGTGGTAGTCTGAAAACCAGAACATGGTGTGATCATATCATACTGAATCTGAATTTCTATTTTGATAGTGCGAACTCACATAGTTGTCACTCTCTGGTAGTTTTCTCTTGTTAAAACTGTAAGGACAATGGTTGAGTTGCAACTTCCATGGCATAATGGAATCTGGGGCATATTTTTGTTAATGCTGTTATTCTCTCACTAGTGCATCCCTTTTTAGGGCGAAATCATATTGCGGTCAACTCATTAAGCAGATTGGGATGCATCCCCTTTTTTTTCTGATCCGTGATTGTTAGTTCAAAGCTACAAATGATGGCTGCTAATGCTATTCATTCGTTTAAGCTCTGCAGAATTTCAACATGTGCCCATTCTCATAAAATCGTAGTAATAGGCAAAACAGATCGGCTTCTCTATTGATGGAAACACTACTGTGATGTTATTTTTCTGTGTATGGCAGTGCTACTCCTAGTGGTCATCATGGCCGAACTTAACTGATGAGAGTATACCTAGAATATTGGGCTTCAGTTGCTTGGTTGCTGGACATTAGTGGCGTTGATGATGCTCATTCTAACTAGCGGGAGAGGGGAGGGAGCGTTGAAGGAACCGGATGAAGACGAGTTTCATCGTGATGATGCTCATCGTGATGACCGCAACTCTCTTCTATGTGATGGTAGTTTAGATGATCGATATCGACTTATAATGTGAAGACAAACTCGCTACTCGTGGTCGACTTGTAATATAATGTTCTATCTTTGTTCGGTCTTTTCAATTCGGAGACTAATATGATGAATTGTATTCGGAGACTAATATGATGAATTGTATTCGGAGACTAATATGATGAATTGTATTCAAAGACTAATCTTCTATTGTATTCGATGAATCTGTTGTTGATGTGTGCTGTCTATATTTTGTCAAATTATACATTTTGTAACCTGTGCAAAAAACAGAAAAAAAAATAAAAAAAATATAATATTCATACTAATGGCGCATCACATGACAGTGCGCCATTAGTATGACAAAACATACTAATGGCGCATCACTAGACAGTGCGCCATTAGTATGCCAAAGCACCTGGGTATACATGGCCCCTGGGAGGCATACTAATGGCGCACCGTGGCCTATACTAATGGCGCACCAGTGGTGCGCCATTAGTATACCAGATACTAATGGCGCACTACTAATGGCGCACCACTGGTGCGCCATTAGTAAAAATTACTAATGACGTGCTAGTAATGGCGCACCAGTGATGCGCCATTAATGGCCAAATTAGGTGCGCCATTAGTAGCGGTTTTTCTAGTAGTGATATGCTGCCCAGCTATGGTGAGTTGCACCGAAGGCACATCCAAATGATGGTGATCTGCCTGTTGTGTGGTCATGAGGATGAAACTTTATATAGCTTGATGCCTTCTAATCATGTAAACCTATTTTGGGAGGCATCAACAACATATTTCAATATCAAGCAACCCAAGATGCACCCAAATGCTTGGACTGAAGATTTCTGGATGCTAGTTTGATGCCGAAGAAGGATGCAGCTATATGCATTACAATTATGTGGGCTATATGGCATAGCTTGAACAACCATACCCACGACGAGGAGATATACCAACTACAACACTCTTTGGTACTCATCGAGGAAATTGTTCGCTCACTGGAGATCCCCCTGCATGTAATGGAGAGGGTGCATATTGATCTAATCTCGCTTGGTGTAGTCCTTTAGAATCAAACTTGACCAACCTAAACGTCGATGGTGCGGTAAATTCTATGCGCGGGAGAGGACGAGACTGGTGGTGTGGAACCATGATGGTGATTTCATGCTAGCGAGATGTGTTGCGTATGAAGGTATAATCGAACCTCTCGTGCTGAAGCTTTTGGCTTGTTGGGATGCAGTTGTTGAGGTAAGAGAAATAGAAAGAGAGTTTTAAGACTGTGATTACTTAGAATGTGAAGAAAATGTGGGAAGCAATAATGGGTGAGAAGTCTATGGACTTTCATATCTCTTGGGAGATGTAGAAAATGGTTTGAAACTTTCAGGGACTCGAGCTTTGTTTTTGTAGGCGGGAGTGCTAATGCAGCAGCAAACCGTTATGCAAAAGAACCTCTAATTTTACATACTATTTGTAAACCAATTTGGTATAATCTCCGACTTTCCGAACTACAACTTGCACTTAGATGTGCTGCCTCTGATTGAAGAAAGCCCG